CCAAGTCTGTACTGGAGCTGGTTGACTCATGGGGGGAAAGGAATCGTCTCTCCTTTTCCTCCACAAAGTCATGCACAATGACCCTCAAGGGCAGGTTCTTGCGACCACCCGTAATAAGGATGGGAAGCAACTCCATAAAAAGCGTAGAGTCGACTAAAGTATTGGGCGTTACGCTAGACAATACTCAGTCCTTTATTAAGCATGCGAAGGACATGGGAGATAGGGCCGGGAGATGCTTCGGGAAAATGTCGCGGGTGTCAGCGTCCTCCTGGGGCATTCGTTACCCGGCTCTTCGTGTTTTATACAAAGGAACATATGTTCCTATAGTAACTTATGCAGCGGCAGTATGGGTAAATCGGGTAAGGAATTATACGGTGCGCACGTCACTGCTCAGATCACAAAGGTCTTCACTCGTTTTGTTGACTAAGAGCTACAGGACGATCAGCACTGCGGCACTTCCGGTACTAGCCGGCGTCCTTCCGGCTGACCTGGAGGTGACACGTGCTGGTAGGATTGATCTCGCGCGTGCGGAAGCAGAAAATGGGGAGTTGAGCAGGTGTAAGCGCGAGATTTGGGCGGATGTTATGAACGTATGGCAAGAGAGATGGGAAAAAGAGACGAATGGAAGGGAACTTTTCTGTTTCTTCCCGGACGTGTCGGCGCGATTCAATGCAAGTTGGATTGTGCCGGACTATCAAGTCTCGCAGATGCTCAGTGGGCATGGATGTTTTCGGAAGAGACTGTATGACATGAAACTAGTTGAATCGGGTATGTGTGATTGCGGTGATGCCTATGAGGATAGGCATCACGTGTTATGGGAGTGTACGTTGTATGACGACCTGAGATATAAGATGATGGACGGAATAGTATGCAGAAGTGTGGGTCCGGTTTACTACCTGGACCTCGTGGACGGTAAGGACAGCTTTGGCCGGCTGCGGGAGTTCGCGCATGGATGGCATGCGAGGAGAACAGCCATGGAGAGGCAAAGGAGCGTTCTGCCCGGAACCGAAGGCGTGGTGTGTTCGTCCAGCCCAGAAGGGGAGAGTGGCATACAAGGGACAGGATCGGATTAAATAACTTGTAGAGAGTCAAGAAAGTGCACGCGGGAAAGAGCCCAGAGCAAGTACCGCGTGCATCTCGAGATTCGGCCCGTATAACCGTGAGGTTGGTGGGGCCATGGGAGGTGGAGGGTGGGTCCCATCTCTGGACTGGGGCTCCCCAGTACCAGCTCCTTCCACTTGACCGCATCCAGCGCAGAGCGGCTCGAATCGTCGACGACCGAGTGCTTTCCGATCGGCTCGATTCACTGGCACTGCGAAGAGATGTTGCATCTCTTTGCATTTTTTTTCGCATATACCATTGAGAGTGTTCTGAGGAATTGTTCGGATTAATCCCAGCCGCCAAATTTCGTGAACGTACTACGTGGCAAACGTCCCGATACCATCCACACCATCTGGATGCTTGGCGGTCCACCACAGTACGTTTCAAAAGGAGTTTTCTTCCGCGTACAACCTCTCTGTGGAATAGTTTACCACCGGCGATTTTTCCGGATCGATACGACCTGGGGACCTTCAAGAAAAGAGCTTACTCTTTTCTAAAGGGCCGGCAACGCACCTGCAATTCCCCCTGGTGTTGCGGTTGATCATGGGCGGCGGTAATCACTTAACATCAGGTGAGCCGAATGCTCGTTTGCCCCCTCTTCTATAAAAAAATGGAGATCTCTATGGGTCAGAGCATCCACTTACCATCAATTGGATCTCTCGTTTCCTCCTTTGTCACTACCTTACACTTTATTCTATAAAAAGGTACGTTTTATTAGTTCTCCCTAAATTTTTAAGCCATATTAAGTAAATTGTGTGAATTTTTTTAACTATATTAAGTAAATTGTATTGACATCAGTCCCCCGTGACCATACAACTCTCACTAACATCTCAGTTTAGTTATACCGTACCGTTATTACGCACCCCTTTCATTACCTCATAGCCACACCCCTTTCATTGCCGCACGGGCATATTTGCCATAGTTGCCACGCTTGACATTCAGCTTGGCAATCGCTGTTTTTTATTTTTTATTGTTATTAAGAAAACGCTGCTGCCCATATCCTGCTTTGTTTCCTCTGTGGCCTGTGGCGACAATAATTGTAACTTTTTATATTACTTTATGCAAAATAATAGCAACAAACTAAAATATACAACATACATAGCGTCTGTTTTATTAACGTCAAGAATTCTTCACAATAGTCTTTATTGGATCGTATCCATAAATGACAATATACACAGCAGATGCAAATTACGTTAGCTGCAGCCGCAGGACTTAAAAAAAAACAATTCTTAAAATATAAATTTATTAAAGAAAGATTACAATACTTTTATAACTAAAACTAAAATGATTAACTTGGTCGAAGTGTGACCTAAGAATGGCGAAATCCGATGCGAACTTGCAACGGGCGTCGGATCTGCTGACTCGGCGCCTCGTGACACGCGGTTCAGTCGTGTGCACCTTTAAGTAGGTTACATGCTAGGCGATTTTCGTGTAGTGAAACTACGTAATTTGCATCATAATTTCATTTTACATAAAAGAAAACATATAGATTACTTCATACAAATATTTACATGAGCCTTTATCCGTGAATATATAATTTGTTAATCTGTTGTTATGCTCAAAGCGTTATTATATAACAATTTAACAAATGTTGATAGAGCGCGAAAAGCTTTATTACATTTTTTACGAAGGATCACGGAATAAGAGTGAGTGAGTTTTTAACTTAGATAAACGATTACATAATATTGTCAGTCCGTTCAAATAGAACCGTAATGAGTAAACTAATGAAAATAAAATGCGTTACCCTGTTAACATAGGGATTATCCTTTCTTCAAATTATAAAAGATATTCTTACGACTTTGTACATACTATACGTATATCATTATAAAGTTTTTCATACAAACATATATAATGCAAATAAGTAGACAGCAAATTGTTTTTTTTGTAAATATTTAATTTCATTAAATTATATTTATTATTTAACCATAAAAAATATAATTTAAAAATCATGTTCTATTTGGTGACATGAAAAATTTTATAAATACATAGTATTATAGTTTGAAAACAATTTAGAAACAATAGTGACATTTATCACTAAAAACCTATATACCTAATTAAAATATTTCTTCAAAGATATAATTAAAATATTTTATGAATCAACTAATTCAAAAACATTTGTGTCTATTTAAAAATAATCAACGTTAGGCCAAAGTTTGCAATTTTTTTCTACTTTACCAACAACATCATATGAAATAAAGAGGACGATATTTACAATATTATCTATAATATATAATTTCAAACTACGAAAAATATTCTGAAATATAACAATTTCTATCATAAATATGTCTATTTAAATAACTATAATATTTGGAAAACATGAAAACTAAAGTTCTTTGCAACTGTTTTCAGTTTCAAGATGCGGCTTTGGACAATATGACTAGACGTATAGCTGTAATAATTGGAATGTCACCCGGTGCGTAGATACTCAGCGTGATGCCTGTAATGAAATATGTTTTATTTTTCTTTTATGATATTCACTTTCAGCACACGTTTAAGATATTCACAGAATACGAGCGTAAAAGAGCAGCCGTGTTTTGAATAGTGAGTGTAGATAACCGTAGGCCATTTTTACTGCATACGGGGCATTCGGTATTTTGATTGTAATAAAAGATAAATGTAAATGTCTATGGACCACCGCACCAATTTAGGATTAGGGGGACTATGTGTTCGTTCCCTTTTTCTAAAAAAAAACCATCATCACTTACTATCGGGTGGTACAGTAGTCACGCATTGGCTTATAATCGTTCAAATAGTTCTGCGTTAGGTATCTGTGTTGTAGAAGTCATTTATCATAGGTAACGTTTTTATAATATTTGCTGTTAATTTATAACAAACAATATAAAAACTCATAAAGTTTAGAAGAATTTAGATGGACAGATAACTCTTTACTGTACACCAAAACAATACATGAACGAAAAATAGTATCATAATGGGCGGTTTTATCGCTAAAAGCGGTTTTTCCAGACCTTTGGATGAACAAGATCGCAAAATGCAAAAAAACTGTGTGCGATTCTTAAGAATAATTTTTAATACGGTATAATAACCTTTCTTACTTTAAACAAAACTGAGCTAAAGCTGGTAGCAAAACCAATGCTAGAACTATGCACGTGCTTGTTCCTGAAAATTAAACAAATTATATTACAAACAGTTTAACATATACAAATAAAGATTATAAGTGCTGGTTTAACTCGTTAGTTCTCAGAATTTTCTCAGCAACAGTAACTTACAAGTTTACTATAAAGGATGCAGTTTTTAGGTTAATTCATCATATTTTCGTCAGTTTTATTATAGTTTTAGCACGAATGGAATCAACCGGGAAAGAACCACGCTCCCACAGAATACCAGTGTAAAATAGCAGAATAATGCCGCTGTGTTTCCTAAGATCAGTTTAGAGAACAAGAGACCATTTCTACTGGAAAAGGGGCATTCCATAGATGTCCTCTATTGGTGACGACGTGACGCATCTGCATTTTGCAGAGGTTAATTAATTTCTTGTCTAGTATAATATCTAGACTGTAGTAGTGTGATGTGAAAATTATTATTATTTATTATTACTGTGGTGTAATGTGTTCATGGTCACGGATCAATGTCATTTCATGGGGTACCGGAGTAAAATTCTACAGATCTGTTGATAATTTTTTTATTATATATTTACATGAATAATCTATTTCATAAGCATTATTTATATTACTAAAGGAGAGAAATAATTTGTTAGCATGTATTATGATACAAATACCCCTGTGATATAGAGTGTGATGTTTTTATTTATTTATTCTATAATATATTACAGATGTCTAATTGGAAAGCAAACAATAATCCGCCTGCAGACTTCATCCACATGCTTTATGCTGATGATGATGAAGATCTATCGGAGGACAGTGAGTTTGAGCCCGATGATGATGAGGTCAGTATCCACATTTATGTGTTTTATATGTAATTTGTTATTATTATTATTGTAAAATATTTTATATGTGATAGAGCTATGCTGCAGCTATATTAATAGTATAGTTGTAGCACGAATGGGTCGGCTCGACCGGGGGAAGGACTACGCTTATCATTATATATATATATATATATATATATATATATATATATATATATATATATATATATATATATATATATATATATATTACTTTTAAAATATTTTTATACGGGTTTATATAGACATTAATTATTATTAATAATTGTCAAATATAAATAATAAACTATAGTAAACCGTCGTTAATGCGAACACGGTTAACACGAATTTTGTTTTAAGGCGAACAAAAATTTGCTCTAGACAATAGTTCCATAAGCTTCAATGTAATTGTTCCGTTAAGACGAACCCTCGTTAATCCGAACTTTGAACAACTTTTTCGTCCCTTCACGGTTAATTATCGGATAATACGAACTATAAAAATTCCCAAATCATTTATTTTATATATTTTTGTCCTTTTTCGGTCAATACAAATACTACCGGTAAACAATTGCTGAAGAAATTAGAAAAGTCATTAACTCGAGTTTCTAAAAATAGACAAAGGATTAGGATATCAAACATTCACTTGATACCTAAAAATAGAAACAATACCTCACATTTTCCCCATTTTTTTGATTTCAATTTTTGCATTGTTCGAATTACACGAAATCCCCTGTAACACGAACTATTTGTCTTTTTTTCGTGTTCGTGTTAACGAGGGCTTACCGTAGTAAATTTGTCATTAATTAATTTCTAGAGACCCGATCATATACATTGATAAGTATTGATTTGTCTGACTCTGTGATCTGTTAGACCCGTTCATCAATGACAATATTAATTATATCAGTCAACTTAAATAATAATCATAATTTATTTGCAGAAAACATGGTACATTACACGTTGGTAATTGACCAGCATGTTTTGTCATATTATTGACATCATCATCATCAACATCGGCCCGTAAAAGTTTTCTGCTGGTCATGGGCCTCTCCCGTTGATTATTTGTGGATTTAGCTTAATTGCCACCCTCAGGGTCACACGTCTCGCATCTATGTTACTAAGCTAATCATAAGTAAAGTATCTATGTAATCTAAACAAAAGTAAAGCAATTTATTGCATTAAGATTAATAATCAGTAAAAGCGCCCATTACATCCATACCGCATCTGCATCGGTTGGGCATACTGAGAATAAGATAATTAATATCCTATGGAGGAATATTGTCCCAGATCCTGCTGAGATGCATAAAGAGTCGTTCTTCTGTAACCATAATCTCAAGAAAAGCTCTCAGAGCTCTTCTTTGAAGCATATTCCAAGCATTTTCTATGGAATTTAAATCTAGAGATTACGCTGGCCATTCTAGGGACATCACATCATGTTTGTACAACCAGACTGAACCGACATTGTCGTGCATAAGGAGGGAATTTTGACCCAAGCGTGTCCAATATGGCAAGACTATTAGTTCTAGCACCTAATTACAGTATTTTTTTAGCCACCATAGTGTCCTGTATCCAAACGAAGTCTGTTCTTTCACCAAAACGAATTCTTACCACTATATAATTGTACCACATTGGTATGGATGAACTTGTTTAGAGTGTTGAGGCTGGACAGTACGACCAGAAACTTTCCTCAGAGTACGTGTGAGTACAATTAGGATGAAAACCAAACCGGGATTCATCGGTGAAAAGCACCAACGACCAATGATGGGATTCCAAGTTCACATGTTCTTCGTTGCAGTTTTCGTCCAAGTATTTCCTCTACTTAGAGCTGGAACCCTAAGTGGTCTACGACCATGAAGGTTGGTTTCGTGCAGTCTCCTCCTCACAATTTGATCACTCACAAGCACCTGGTGTTCAGCCTTTGGACAATTGCTTCGCCCTATTATATATATTGTTGCCTTCTCGCAGCAATTTGCAAAAAATGGCTTATCTGGCTCCACCACTACCGCCGTGGCATGATAGTGTGATCACAATCTCGAAATCACATTTTTCCTAGTGCCCACTGCCAGTTGAAAAGTACCAGCCTGCAGAATTCCTACAGCCCTTCTCGAGTTAAACGTCGACGTTGCATTGCAATATAATGTCAAATTGTCACAATCTACCCAAGTTTATTTCGATTTTTATTGCATTGTAAAGAAGCATTTTAAGATCAAACATTTATTCATTAATTTAATATCATAATGTATATAGCAAAAATAATCTGGCGCTATGCTAGAATTACCTGAATGCCTGTTAAGTATGACTATCGGGGAAGGTAGGAAAATAGATGCAGTTTCATGTTATTGCATTGCTCTAGTGTAGCTTTACCCTAGAGGAATATGAATGATTAAGTTTATTTCTGTAGTATTAAATTTTTGTAGATATTATTGTGAAAATCGTGTGTGTGTGTGTGTGTGTGTGTGTGTTTTTTTTTTCATCTTATCAAATAATTAAGTTTTCAGTAAAATCGATTCAGTTTGTTAGTTTTCTTTAATTTAATTGCTTTTACCAATAGGCAGTTCATACTGAGAGTAAAAATATTCATCGCACCGTCACACTCTACATAATGCTACATATTATATTCATATTAAAACATCTATATGTTTTATTGAAAGGAGGCTGGATGGAGTTTCTCATGAATTGAAACTGGTGAACGGCAGATACTCGGCGGTAGCTTCGGTTACGTTGCTCGACGCTGACCTTCCTTCACCTGCGGAGTTTATTTGCACTCTCCGAATACCTTTAGCAAAATACGCAGTAAAGAAAGAAGCAATTTACTATCCGGGTAAGAATTGTATTTTATTATTTTTCCTACAATCCTACTATAGAAAAGAATAGAATAGATAATTAAATAGTTAGGAGATTTGATGTGAGCTTAATCGCAAGCAGACTTTTGTTCTTGTCTAATATACATTTATATACAGTCTTGAAGTAGATTATTATTCGTAAAAGTGTTGTTATTTTATATATAAAATATCTAGAATGGTATCTTTATGAGGAAACTGTTAATTCTTCGGAAAGTCCACGCCGTAAGGTATCACTCCATATCCGTACCGTTAGCGTTGTAAGAAGTGACTATGGGAAATGCCGGAAAAATCTTGTTTTTTTTTTTTAAATATAGGATAAGGGTGACAAACAAGCACAAAGTCCACCTGATGGTAAGTGGTTGCTGCGGCCCATAGACATCTGCATCAATCCTCGATCACGAATCAAAATGCAGATGCTTTTTCACCCGTGACGACTAAGAAGGAATACCTCTTATCCAGTAAAAAGGGTCTCCGGTTCTCTACACTCACTATACGAAACACAGCACCGTTAAGCTACTATTTTACGCTGGTATTCTATGAGAGCGTGGTTCTTCCCTGGTCGTGCCGATAACGATACTACTGTGACGGCGCTGTCGTCGCGCCGCAAGCGAAACATACCGAAATCTATATCACGCTATCAAAATTCCGAATCATATCATCATTACGATTCATGAGACTGAAAATTTATGAAACGTGTTAATTATAAAAACAACGAAAGTAATGATAATGAATGCTTTCCCTTACTTTATACGTCTCATTGCTCATATTTCTGAGAGGATTATGAAGCAATGGTCTAGCTTGACGCCCGTGGGACTTTACACAATTTCTTTTGAGTTTTATTTATAATGTTATCCTTCATCGCCAAGCACGTGGCAAAGAGCTCTTTAAAACAAATTATAAAAATAATAAATAATAAAATATAAAAAAATGCAATTAACATTTTTGGTGCTGGCCAGGATCGAATCCTGATATTTCTACCACTACTACTACTACTAGCTACGTCAACTTTGATATGAACTATTATAAGTAATAACCTTTATAAAATCACAAAAAAAGGAATCCAATATAGGAAAACCAACATTATACTTTACAATATATTTATTTTATAAACATGTGATTCTCTCATTAGGGCCCATCAGCACAACACCTGAGATGCCGACAGCGGCTGACATGCAACTCGCTGCAGCTATTGGCTCTAAAGGTGAGAAATCTACAAGGATTAGCCTTTAGTATAGGAGCGTGTGTGTTTGTGTGTGCGTGTGTGAGTGAGACCTTTCATGATGAACATTCCGCCGCGCCGAACGCTCTTCAGTGAGACCTAACCCTGCAGCCACAGCTTATGTGGTTCGAACTTTCAGTCCACATAATGGTAACTGGTACTCCAACTCATGGTCACCGACCAATGTACTTTGGTTTCAAGAACTTTATTTTTCATTAAGACAATTGTCACTTAAATGAGAACAATAATATCTATAATAAAATTATAATAATATATATAATTCAAGTACGTAGTAAAAAATACGTCGGTCGATCGTTAATCAAGAAACGAGTCCATTGTGTTCATCTTTAACTCTAAGGCGGTGGTCCAAGTTAATTCTAATACATAGTTTAATCATTATAAATAAATTTAAATAATGTCGTTTAAAAAATATTATTTTTCATTAAGACAATTGTCACTTAAATGAGAACAATAATATCTAAAAAAAATTACAATAATATATATAATTCAAGTTCGTAGTAAAAAATACGTCGGTCGATCGTTAATCAAGAAACGAGTCCATTGTGTTCATCTTTAACTCTAAGGCGGTGGTCCAAGTTATTTCTAATACATAGTTTCATCATTATAAATAAATTTAAATAATCTCGTTTAAAAAATATTTATCGAAGTCGCTTCTTTCACATGTTTTCGAAGTTGATTTTATAAGTGTGCTCGCTATGTAATTTTTATCGCAGTTGGTTCTTACAGCAGGTAACACAAAATTACTGGCACGGCGAGTTATACAGGCTTCTGTCCAAACCGTGACGTCCAAAAGAATTTTTTTAATTCCTCACACCTAGAGGTATCCAAAAATACCCCATGTATGGTATCCGAATTCTGGTAGTTTTCGAGTTATAATTTTTTAAGGTTTTCTGCCGATGAGGCTTAAAAAAATCATATCTTTTTATCATAGTTATATTTAAAAAAATTTCAAATGATTGTATTTAATGGCACTTTCACATGTAAAATAATAAACTTGCTAACATTCCAGTAAGTTACTCAAAAACGTATCGAAAGTAAGAATTGCAGTTTAAGTGGTAGACTCAAATTTTCAACTTCAATTTATAAATACAAAAGGGACTTTATAAACTTTGCAGGTTCTACTATCCGTTTTTTTTTTCACTGACATTTCTTCATTTTCATGTAGTACTAAAGCATCTATGTCTTTTGATATAAAAGGCGTTACAGCTCGTTGCCGAGTATTTAGCAACCTTTTATTATCTGAAAAAAGATACGCTTGCAATGCCTATTAATAGATTGATTTTTAAATTGTTTTTATTTCATATATTATTGATTTTATTTTACTTCACATTATTAGTAAAAAGGGAAAGAAAACAGGGGATGCCCCCCGTAAATTAGATTCCCGGTAAAGACTAAATAATAGAAACTGCGGCTGAAAAGTGTGTTAACTATGATGAGTATCTCCTTTAGGGGAGGACTTTATTCAGCAGTCGATTTTGATAGTATATGATGAATGAAATATTTTACTATTATTCTCATAGTTAAAAAAGCATTTTTAGTTGTATTAGAACAACACATGAGTTAACAGTCCATTTTATTTCAATTGGCTTTGCCATCCCGTTGACACCTGCAATTACTCAGCTTTTATTATCTGAAAAAAAGAAACGCTTGCAATGCCTATTAATAGATTGATTTTTAAATTGTTTTTATTTCATACATTATTGATTTTATATTACTTAATATTGTTAGTAACTAACTAGCCCACTGCACCTTTCACAAATTTAATTTATAAATTATTTACATTAGTGCAGGCGCATGTGAATTAACTAGCTCATATCGTCTCGAAGATGTCGTTACAGGTGTCAAAGGGAAATAAAACAGGGGACGCCCCCGTAAATTAAATCCCCGCTAAAGACTAAATAATAAAAACTGCGGCTGATAACCCACCTGCAAAGTGTGTTGACTATGATCACTGACTTAGTAGTATATATACTTGCATGGTATCTGAACCTTTTTCTGCCACAAATCCCGTAATATATTCTAATAAAGCAATTGATAAGGTTTTTTAATAATTTAAATAACGACTCTAATAGAGGCATACTGAAGACCACTCCTGAAAGTTTTTGTTTTTTCTCCCCCAACTAGTAGCGACAAACATACATATACTGTGATTTTTAATAATTACAAAACTTCTTAGCAGTTTTTTTATTCATCATCATCATCATTACAGCCCTTCACAAGTCCACTGCTGAACATAGGCCTCCCCAAGTAATGCCACAAAGCACGGCCCTGAGCCACCTGCATCCATCGATTTCCTGCATGTCTTACCAGGTCGTCACTCCATCTAGTGGGGGATCGCCCTACACTACGCCTACTGGTACGAGGCTGCCACTCGAGAAACTTTCTTCCCCATCGGTTATCGGTTCTTCGAACTATATGGCCGGCCCATTGCCACTTCAGCCTACTAATCCGTTGGGCTATGTCAGTCACTCTGGTTTTACTGAGCATATCCTCATTTCTGAGTCTATCACGCAGAGAAACTCCGTGCATAGTCCTCTCCATAGCTCGCTGAGCGACCTTGAGCGTCCTCATACGGCCAGCAGTGAAGGACCACGTCTCTGATCCGTAAGTCATCACTGGCAACACGCACTTGTTGTACACTTTAGTTTTCAGAGATTGAGGTATACCTGACGAGAAGATGTGTCGTAATTTCCCGAACGCTGCCCAGCCGAGTTGAATCCGTCGATTGACCTCTCGGTCGAAGTTGGACTAACCTAGTCGGACTATTTGTCCCAGGTAAACGTACTCGTCAACAACTTCGAGCATAGTGCTCCCAACAACTACCGGCATAGGTGTGACATGGACATTAAACATGGTCTTTGTTTTGCCCATGTTCATCTTAAGACCTATCCGTTGGGAGACACCATTGTGGTAATTGAGCATAGTGCTAAGGTCCTCCAGCGATTCTGCCATAAGGACAGTATCGTCGGCAAATCGAAGGTGAGTGATGTACTCGCCATTGATATTAATACCGTATCCTTTCCAGTCCAGTAGCTTGAAAACGTCTTCCAACGCAGTGGTGAAGAGTTTCGGGGGTATAACGTCACCCTGTCTTACACCTTTATGCAGTTGGATAGGTTTCGAACTCTGGTTCTGTACTCGGATAGCCATCGTAGCCCTACTGTACAAACACTTCAGCACTTCGATATACCGACAGTCAACTTGGCACCGCTGAAGGGACTGTAGCACCGCCCAAATTTCGACGGAATCAAAGGCTTTCTCATAGTCCATATACGCCAGACAAAGTGGCAGATTGTACTCTTCGGTCTTCTGTACAATCTGCCGCAGGGTATGTATGTGGTCTATGGTACTGAAGCCTTTTCGGAAACCGGCTTGTTCGGGAGGCTGGAAGTCGTCGAGTCTGCGTGCGAGACGATTTGTAATGACTCTCGAAAACAGTACGTAGACGCGGCTCAGAAGAAAAATCGGTCTGTAGTTCTTCAAGAAAGCGTTGTCGCCTTTCTTAAAGAACAAGACCACCGCACTTCTGCTCCACGCCTCCGGAGTAGTGCCAATATAGAGGACGGAATTGAAGAGTTTCTGAAGGACTTCAAGTACCGGTGTTCCACCCGCTTTCAGAAGCTCCGCTGTAATTTCATCCTCGCCTGGGGCCCTGCCGTTTTTAAGGTGCTGGAGAGCCATTCTAATTTCGCTCAGACTGACGTCCGGGATATCGTCGGAATAATGTCGGGTAAGACTTGCTCTTGGATCGTTACTCACACTTGCGTGTGGCTCCAACGATGATGTGTAGAGCTGCCCATAGAACCTCTCAATATAACACTCAGTCTTCAGCTTTGACAGTTGGCTCTTTCTGGCAGACAGATCTCTGGCAAAGACTTTGGATCGCTTCTTTAATACGAGCAGTATTAAAGTTGCGTAAGTCTCGCCGCATGCATTTGGAGATCTGTTCAGTTGCCTGTATGCTGTCAAATCTGTTGACGATTGCAGCCTCATCTCCCGTCTAACAGCCATGAGATTAAGAGTGTGATCGGAGAGTTTTTGTGTTCTTCTGCGGCGGGTCTTGCAGAACTTAGCTCCGACCGCATGGACAGTTTCCACGAGCTTGTCATTCATATCGTCCACTGCATTGCAATCTTCTAGGCACTGAAAGCGGTTACGTAACTCGAGCTGAAAAGTCTCAGTATTCTGGATTAGAGCATGAGGGGGACGGAGCGTTGACTTCATCAGACGAGACCATTCGGTGATCGCTGCCGGTTTTCATCCTTGCGATCACTGAGACATCACTGAACAGTTGGCGTCTGGTCGTCATAATGAAGTCAATCTCATTTTTTGTCGAACCGTCGGAGCTCGACCAGGTCCTCTTCCTGTGGGGCCGCTTCTGGAAGAAAGAGTTCATCATAAATAGTCCACCTTTCTCCATAAAGTCAGCCAGCTGCTGGACCCTACAGTTCCGTCGCCCTACTCCAAATTTCCCTAACTTCAGCTCACCGCCTTCTCTTGTGCCAGGTTTTGCGTTGAAGTCTCCCATCAACACCGTGTAGTGGGTTTTGGAGGAATACATGGCTCTAGAAATATCCTCATACATTTCCTCCACCTCCTCATCGGGATGTGCCGAGGTTGGTGCGTAGACCTCTATGACCTTCAGCGAATACCGTTTGGTGATTCTGAGTATCAGGTACGCGACCCTTGTCGACATACTCCCAATCTTTACAACATTGTTGACGAGAGACTTGTGGGCGATAAATCCGACACCTCCTTGGGACAGATGGTCGCCCTCCCGGTGATAGAATATGTTGCGGGACTCGAGGATTACTGTGTCCTCCCCCTCTCTTCGGACCTCAGATAATCCAATAATATGCCAGCGCAACTTGTCTACCACTTCTTCCAGCTCCAGTATCTTCTCGTCAGTCCTCAGGGTGCGTGCGTTATACGTTGCCAGTTCGAGTCGTCGTAGGTGGCAACCGAACCTCCACCGGAGATTCTTAGCACCCCTTGCCATAGTCGCCACCGTAGCCAGGAATAGCGGGGCCGCCGGGGACTGGGGGCCGTTTATTTGAGTCGTTGCTCATGGGGATGGGATGGGGATATTTGCCATAGATGCAACGCTTGGCGAGCGGGTTGGCAACCGCAGTTTTTTATTATGTTATTGTTGTTATTAGGAAGATTCTGCTGCTCATCTCCTTTCTGTGTCCCTCTGTCGCCTCTTACGACACCCACGGGAAGATATAGGGTAGTGGATATTCTCAACCACCACTACACGGGGTGTTTTTTTATTGGCTAAATAAATTACAAAATTATGCATCTTACGTAAAGTAATAATTAAAAAATACATCCCTACCATAACTCTTGAAATAAACTGTAATACACTTAATTGACATAATAAAATATAATTAGAAGTAAAACACCTACTATAAGATAAAATGAAGGCATTGCACTGTAGTGCAGTGCATTCATTGCATGTTGTGTACAACAAAAAAACTTTTAGCATTCAACAGTTTGACAGCAGATCTACCACAAAACTTAGCGCCTAACATGGCAACGCAGTCACGCATGGATGAGCTAATTACGTCACACGAAAGTGTCAAAATAAGCAATTGACAAACTGTTGTTGTCTCCCTTTTCTAATGAAGCTACTGCTTTGTTAAAAAGAAACAAAAGTATTTTTGACAAGTGTGTGTCGATATTATAGATATTTGTATAACTATTATTTCTGTAGTAGAATACGACGCCTCCATATGTATTATATCTCTATGACTATGATGAATATCTAGGATGAATATATAGGACTTTACTCAGCAGTGGATTTTGATAGTATATGATGAATGAAATATATTACTATTATTCTCATAGAAATAAAGTATTTTTAGTTGTATTGGAACAACACATGAGATAACAGTCCATTTTATTTCAATTGGCTTTACCATCCCATTGACACCTGCAATTACTCAGCACTTAAGCAAAAAAGACCACAGATGCATTGTTACCCTCGAAGGCTAAGATAAAATGTCTTGCAGTCTGAAACCGTGTTTGTTTTTTTAACCCGGGACGTTCACACCAAAACAGAGCAATGGGATTTGTATAATTTAATAAAATTTTACTTTTTTATTATAAAATTGAAGTGACAAATGGTTTTACATTCCATCTGATAGTAAATGGCTATTACTGCCAATGGTGTGTCCATTGGCAACGAACTTTAAGGAAAGCAGTCTGCGGATACGGTATCTCGCTACTAAGACAGAATGCTCAATAGCGTGTATACCGGCCCGATACAACCTGCACGCTATTATGTAAGTAATGCTTTTTAACGGCAGAAAGGGAGGATCTTAGGAAGGAAAGCAATTAAACCACCTAGAATGACCATTGTCAGAAATTAGAAAGACACAGGCCCTGTTATACAAATTTATCTATAAACGTGGTCGCTCTTACTTTTTTATATTTTCATCACTACATTTATTTGTTTATTTTTTTATTATCTAAGTTTATAACCTATAGAGAAGAAGTAGGTATATTAATTATTTTCTGAAGTAGGGATTAATAAGATTGAGATCTTCCAACATTCTTTTATGGAATAATGGTTAAAACAAACACAACGTCCTCCTGATTCTCCTGATATATTGATTAACATTCGATGCGTTGTCACCAAGAGAGGACATAGATGGAATGCCTCTTTTCCAGTAAAAACAGTCTCTTGTTCTCTAAACTGACCCTGAGAAACACAGCAGCATTATTCTGCTATTTTACACTGGTATACTGTGGGGGCGTGGTTCTTACTAGGTGGAACCAATTCGTGCTACAACTGTAATAAAACTGAAGCGCGGCTCTACCACGTAAGAAATACATACCGTAAATATTGTAACCTTTGTAGTAAATTTGTAGGTTACTGTTGCTTAGAAAAGTTTGTAAACTAACGACGACCAGAACTTATGACTATTCTATGTTGATGTTAAATTGTTTTTTAATATAATTTGTTTTATTTTCAGGAACAAACACGTGTAAAGTTATAGCATTGGTTTTGCTACCAGCTTTAGCTCAGTCAGTACTGGCAGTCAAATGAAAACATTATAGAAAAGTGTTTAAGGTAAGAAAGTTATTATACCGTATTAAATCATTCTTTTTTTGCTTTTGCGATCGCGTCCATTCAAAGGTATGGAAGAAATACTGAAGAAAAAAAAGACAAAATACTGAATGCTCTGTATGCAGTAAAAAGGACCTGCGATTATCTACACTCCCTATTCGAAACACAGTAGCTCTTTCACGCTGGTATTCTGTGAATATCCCAAATGTGAATGTAAAAGTAAATGTCACAAAAGAAAAATAAAACATATTTTGTTACAGGCATCACGCTGAATATCTACGCACCGTATGACATTCCAAGTGTTCCAGCTATACGTCTAGTCATATTGTCCAAAGTCGCATCTTAAAACTGAAAACAGTTGCAGAGAACTTTAGAGTTTCAATCACATTTTGAAAATTGGCTTTTTATTTATTATAAAATAACGAAAATTTTTTCGCATTTTACAAATATTATAGTTATTTAAATGTTTATCTCTACGATATGAATTTTCATATTTCAGAATATTTTTCGCAACTTGAAATTAAATATAGATAATATATTGTAAATATCGTCCTCTATATTTCATATGATGTTATGTTTGTAAAGTAGAAAAATAAATTGCAAATTTTTGCCTAAGGTTGATTATTTTTAAATAGACACAAAAGTGTTCGAATTAGGTGATACATAAAATATTTTAATTAGGTTATATCTTTGAGATTTTTAGTAATAAATGTCACTTTTGTTGCTAAATTATTTTCGAACGATAATATTATTATAATTTTATCACATGCAATAATTTATATCTAAAAAATAATATTATTATATATTATTTTTTAGATATAAATTATTGCATGTCACCAAATCAAACATGGTTTTTAAATTATATTTTGTGTGACTAATTAATTAATTATTTTAGTTAAATTAAATATTTACAAAACAAAACTATTTGCTGTCTACATTGCATTATGTATGTTTATATGAAAATAATAATTAACGATATACGTATAATCTGTACAAAGTCGTAAGAATATCTTTCATCGTTTGAAGAAGTGATTATCCCTATATTAACAGGGTAACGCATTTTTCTTTTCATTAATTTACTTATAACAGTTCTATATGAACTGTTTGACAATATTATGTCTAAATTAAGAATCCACTCACCCTTATTCCGTGATCCTTGGTGAAAAAATTGTAATATAGTTTTTCGCATCGTGCGCTCTATCAACATTTGTTTTTGTTATAACGCTTTGAGCATAACAACAGATTAAGAAATGTAACAAATAATATTCATAAATGAGGTCTCATGTAAATATTTGTATGGAATTTGTATGAAGTAAACTGTAAGATTTCTTTGGTGTAAAATGAAATTATGATGCATCTGCTGTGCATATTGTTGTTTATGGATACAATTCAATAAAGATTTTATTGGGAATAATTCTTGAAATAAATAAAACAAACGTTATATATTTATTAATTTTAATTTATTTGTCATTATTATTTTTGCATAAAGTAATATAAAAAGTTACAACTATGGTCGCATCAGGCGACAGAGGGAAACAAGTCAGGATATGGGCAGCAGCGTTTCTTTAATAACGATTAAAAAAGAAACTGCGATTGCCAACCCGATTGTCAAGCGTGCCAACAATGGCAAAATGTCTATGAGGCAATCTAAAGGGTGAACCTGTGTTCAGTGTTGGACTTTAACAGGTTGTAACGCAAACGGGATAACTACGGTGAGATGTTAGTGGGAATGTCGTCGTTATAATTTTTATTTACTAAAAACATCACTTGGAATTATCAATAAAAGTATTCGTTTTCCATTCCATGGCAGCCTATAATAGTCCACTGCTGAATAAAGGTTTCAATGGTTTTTGTTTTAAGTGTGCTTTAATAATATAGAGTTGTTATCAGGAAGATGCTGCTGCACATCTCCTGTGTCAGTTTCCCTCCGTCATCTCATATGACCCTCACGGGACACTATGGGATAGTGGATGTTCTTACATCGACACTAAATGGTTGATTCGGTTTTGTTAACTCCAATTTTCTACTCAGACTTTCTAAGCGAATACGACATAAACCGTCTTTAATTCAACTGGTATGCGAAGGCATTTCATCGTGAAAAAAGGAAGGGAAATTTAAAATAAGGTAAAAGTGTTCGTAGAGTAACAATAATGATAACAGTACAACGACCGTATAAAGGCGCTATAAGAATATCCACTGCCCGTATCGTCCTACGTGTGTCGTAAGAGGCGACAGAGAGAAACAATAATGATAACAGTACAACGACCGTATAAAGGTGCTATAAGAATATCCACTGCCCGTATCGTCCTACGTGTGTCGTAAGAGGCGACGGAGAGAAACAATAATGATAACAGTACAACGACCGTATAAAGGCGCTATAAGAATATCCACTGCCCGTATCGTCCTACGTGTGTCGTAAGAGGCGACAGAGAGAAACAATAATGATAACAGTACAACGACCGTATAAAGGCGCTATAAGAATATCCACTGCCCGTATCGTCCTACGTGTGTCGTAAGAGGCGACAGAGAGAAACAATAATGATAACAGTACAACGACCGTATAAAGGCGCTATAAGAATATCCACTGCCCGTATCGTCCTACGTGTGTCGTAAGAGGCGACAGAGAGAAACAATAATGATAACAGTACAACGACCGTATAAAGGCGCTATAAGAATATCCACTGCCCGTATCGTCCTACGTGTGTCGTAAGAGGCGACGGAGAGAAACAATAATGATAACAGTACAACGACCGTATAAAGGCGCTATAAGAATATCCACTGCCCGTATCGTCCTACGTGTGTCGTAAGAGGCGACAGAGAGAAACAATAATGATAACAGTACAACGACCGTATAAAGGCGCTATAAGAATATCCACTGCCCGTATCGTCCTACGTGTGTCGTAAGAGGCGACGGAGAGAAACAATAATGATAACAGTACAACGACCGTATAAAGGCGCTATAAGAATATCCACTGCCCGTATCGTTCTACGTGTGTCGTAAGAGGCGACAGAGAGAAACAATAATGATAACAGTACAACGACCGTATAAAGGCGCTATAAGAATATCCACTGCCCGTATCGTCCTACGTGTGTCGTAAGAGGCGACGGAGAGAAACAATAATGATAACAGTACAACGACCGTATAAAGGCGCTATAAGAATATCCACTGCCCGTATCGTCCTACGTGTGTCGTAAGAGGCGACAGAGAGAAACAATAATGATAACAGTACAACGACCGTATAAAGGCGCTATAAGAATATCCACTGCCCGTATCGTCCTACGTGTGTCGTAAGAGGCGACGGAGAGAAACAATAATGATAACAGTACAACGACCGTATAAAGGCGCTATAAGAATATCCACTGCCCGTATCGTTCTACGTGTGTCGTAAGAGGCGACGGAGAGAAACAATAATGATAACAGTACAACGACCGTATAAAGGCGCTATAAGAATATCCACTGCCCGTATCGTCCTACGTGTGTCGTAAGAGGCGACGGAGAGAAACAATAATGATAACAGTACAACGACCGTATAAAGGCGCTATAAGAATATCCACTGCCCGTATCGTTCTACGTGTGTCGTAAGAGGCGACGGAGAGAAACAATAATGATAACAGTACAACGACCGTATAAAGGCGCTATAAGAATATCCACTGCCCGTATCGTTCTACGTGTGTCGTAAGAGGCGACGGAGAGAAACAATAATGATAACAGTACAACGACCGTATAAAGGCGCTATAAGAATATCCACTGCCCGTATCGTTCTACGTGTGTCGTAAGAGGCGACAGAGAGAAACAATAATGATAACAGTACAACGACCGTATAAAGGCGCTATAAGAATATCCACTACTTATATCGTTCTACGTGTGTCGTAAGAGGCGACAGAGGGGAACAAACCTGGAAATAAACAGAAACTTTTTTCTATTGAGAACTAAAAGATAAAATAAAACTTCTGTTTCCAACCCGCCAGCGTGGCAGTTATAGCAAATGTCCTCCCAATGAGGCAATCTATGGAAGAGGCCTACGTTCAACCGTGGACTTTTGATAGCCTGTTACGGTAATGGTACAATAATAGTTCTATCTAAGCTCAGTTGTTTACTCGTACAATATTTGTAACATAATATTATGTTACCTATTTTCTGCACATATTTGCACTTGATTGACGATGGAAGTATTAATTACCTCACAATTTATTTAAGTTTAGTGAACCAAATAGTTATTCCATCATTAAAAGTTGACCAAACTTCAAGATATGTAAAAGTACAATGGCTTTTAAAAATACGAAAGCTTGTCGCAAGCTTTCATATATTCTTATATTTATACAAATAAATAAAATGGAAGTGTTTGTAATGTCAAAATAACAGCCTTTTATTTAGTGCGTATAAAAGCATATACGATAATTAAACCAAAAAACAATATCTTGACTGTTTGTCTGTCTGTTTGTTCTAGCTGATCTTCAAAATGACTTTACTGATTTTAACGGGACTTTCACTGGCAGATAGTTGATATTATAAGAGTAACTTTAGCTACTTTTATTCTAGAAAAAGAGAGTTCCGCGCAAAAAAGTTACGCCCATGAAATCCAATCGAAATCATTTCGATACAGACTAAATCGCGGGGAACAGATAATTACATATATATGTTTATATATATATCGCCTTTTAGAAAATTCTTTGAAACTGTTTCATATCAAATTTAACTTCTTATTTAATAGAGCTACGCTACCACTCTTTATTTTTATTTTATTTATTTATTTATTAATTATTCATTTAAATACACCCATTTTGTTACTACACTTAAAACTAGGGGTTAGTAAATTAACAGAAATTATTATTTTCGTGTGTATGACTACAACACCAATACGTCGGCTCGACCGGAGAGGGTGATCATTTGAAGAACCAGCTTCAAAAGGAGCAAAATATTGCTGTTTTGTGTGTGTGACTTTTCTCTTTATAATACTTGCGTCTACGGGTGCCTCCAT